TTATGTACATGATTGAGTAGGTCATAGGGCATACCTTTGAGTATGACAAGGTACATAAGGCCCTAAAGATTGTTGCAGACTTGCCTAAGATTGGGGTACCTTCAGCAAGACCAGGAGGAGGAGGAGCAGCAGCAGAGGCAGATGCACCTGCTGGTGGTGCAGCAGCAGGAGGAGCTTCCCCTCTACCACATGCTCCTTCATGTTCTTCTTCACATCACCATAGTCCTCCTCCTATTCGTAAGATGTTCAGTGCTATCTTTGGGATGTGTAAGGACATATAGGTCAGACAACAGAAGGAAAGGGAGGCTAGGAGGAAGGACACTCGGACTTTGAAGCAGATTGTTGCTAGACTTGAGCTTGTTCCTCCTAGGTCTCCACTGTCAGATGAGGCAGCCATTGAGCCTAAGACTAAGGAGAAGGAGCAGGCCAGGTACGACATAGAGTTTGCTGAGTTTCTTCAGCAACAGGAGCAGCAGCAACAGCTGGCACCAGAGCATCCTGACACTTTACCACTACAGGCTTGGATGCCTACTCACTCTCAGCCACATCTCGATGCTGTAGACGAGTATGCTTTAGATTGGTGGAGTGACCTCACAGGTGGTTTCGGCTACTATGGGTCTGGTAGCTATGAACCGTCTGGTGCGGGTGGTTCTCGTCCAGCCGGTGCTCCACGCTCAGATGATGAGGATGTTGACGGAGATGAAGATGGTGATGAGTGATCACAGCTTTCAGAGACAGCTTGCAGCCCCTTTGTCCTTAGTATGTTATTGTTGGACCTTTGTGGTGATAGATGACAAAGGGGGAGAGAGACTGATTAAAGCTTCAGGATATTTGTTTCATTTGCTTATCTTTGTACCTGAAGATATGTACTGCATGCCATAGTTTTTTTTGAGCTTAATTGATGTATTTTGAGTTTGAGATATATTGTATCATGTGAGAGATGAGACTTATACTTATGCTTTATCTATGTATCTCTTGAGACATGATCTTTATTTATATATTAGTGGCTTGTGGACTTGAGAAAATGTGTAATGAGTGCTATGTGTGGCATACATGTGTTGTATTTATTTTCATAAGGACTATGCATGCTAGAATGAAAATATTTGATGTGATGCCTTTATATTTATTCTTGTGTGATATATCTTGTCATATGCATCACGGTTTTGCTTTGTCACACACACACATGCACCCCACGAATGCAATAATTTAGAGGGAGTCTCCTATATGTTTTAGCATGTGCAATTGACATTTGAGGTCATTTTATGAATTCTAATCATAAGCATATATTAAAGGGGAGTCTCTCATAAATCATTGAATCAAAAAGCTTAAATGTTTATATCCTTTTGTAGGCTTTAATCAAGTTATCATTAATCATCAAAAAGGGGGAGATTGAAAGTGTATCTAGCCCTTTAGTGGGTTTTGGATGATTGAATGACAATATGATTAAAGGTCTAACCCGTTTACTAAGTGTGGACAGGTAATAGGTTATCTCATAGGTACTTAATGAAAGCCAAAATAATGTGTTGTTGTATAAATAATCTAGTTCAAGCACAAGACAACAATACAAATAGAATTCATGCAAAAGCTTATTTATTATGGGATTTCCATGTACTATGTGAAAGCAAGCCCGGTAAAAATTAGTTGATGAGACATGAGGGATTGTATATGGAATGGTCTCATATTTGAAGCTTGCTAAATTGAAATGAAAAAGATAACAATACAAATGAATGAATGATTCAACATAAGATGTGACTTGATGACTTGAGATGGTGAAGATAGCAAGGAAAGACTTTGAGGTACTAAGCAAGGGCGAAGGGCAAGCGACGACTTGGCGGCTGAAGAACCTAGCTAGGGTGAAGAAGAAAGTACTCGCATTTAGTTGAGGTACTAATCAAGCTATGATGGTCATATTGATGTGGAGGATCAAATCTATATTGGACAAAGTGTTGGAAGTGACTTGATGCATTCAGAGTTATTCATATTTGATGAATGGAATCAAGTCACGTGCTCAAGATGGCTATGCTCAAGTATAAAGATCAATATCAACATGTTGGCAATCTCACTTGATGAAGATTGAAAGAGACGACATTAATTCAAAAAGAGATCAACTCAAGCGGTATAAATTCGTTTTTTATTTGATCTTAAGTTTAATAGATATACCGTACTATTAAGAGGGACGCATCATGTTGATAGATAACCATTTATAAGTGCTTATGCCAACCCATGTGAGTTTTAGAGTGTTTGAAAGACAAAAGAGCTAACTTGTTTTTGCTGGTCTAGCAATACCAGACGTACCGGACGTGTCCGGTATGTGCCCAACCACGATAAAATTCTTGATGTTCTTGGGTTGGTTCGTCGGGAGTTCCGACGTCTCGAGCTTAACTGACTTAAAGAAGTTCAGTGTCCTGGTCATACCAAACGTGTCCGGTATGTCCGGTATGGACGTCCAGAGGCCAACAGCTAGTTTTCAAATGCCTTGAGGGTCGGGAGTTCCGGCATGCTTCGGAAGTTTCGACACCTCACATACTTTAACTCAGTTACCGTTGTTTTCAAATATGCTGAGGGTCGAGAGTTTCGGCATTTATCGGGAGTTCCGACGCCTCACAATGATACTGTAACTCAGTTACCGTTGGCGCAGTGTAAGTCATACCGGACGGACATGTCCGGTATGGCAACGGCTATAAAACGGCTAGTTTTTCAAGGGGGTTATAAATACCCCCAAGCCTCCACCTTTAGAGGCTGCTGATTTTGCTGGTTGCAATACACATTTTTGAGCCTTACCAACTCTCCCAAACCCTCTCTTAGTGAGTGTGTGATCCAAATCGTAAAATCCATTTGTGGGTTGAGAGAGAATTCAAAATTGAGAGCAAGCCACCACTTGAGCACTTGTGCATATTGTCAATTTCGTGATTCACATCTGTTACTCTTGGACTCTTCGGTCCTAGACGGCTAGGCGTTGCCGGAGAGCACCCGAGAGATTGTGGTGTGCCTCGGAAAGTTTGTAACGGTCGATTCCGCCGCCTCAGGATCAACTAGTGGAAGGAGAAAAGGAGTTGGAAAAGACTCCGACTAGAGTGACCTTTGTGGTATCCTCTAGGGCTGACCTTCGCTGGGTCGCCCGCAGCCCCCTCAACGGAGAGTATGACTCAAACGAGTTCGAACTTTGGTAAAAACAAATATCGTGTCTCAATTCGTATTTCATTTGATGTTTGTGTTGCTCTAGCTCTTGTGCAGGTTATTTGTGTATCTTGTCATCTTTAGTAGGTACCAGCAATTTGGTTTGAAGTTAGAAATAGAAAGGAGCAAGTTTAGAGCTGTTCTACTGAAACCGTGTATACCAGACATGTCCGGTATTGATCACTGTGCCAGGCTGTTCTGTAGAATAGTGTATACCAGACACGTCCGGTATTATAGCTCAGTGCTGAATTTATTTGATCCGTGCACTAATCGTTGTGTTGTAGGATTGTGCCTCCTAGATTAATTTAGTATCTTTTACATACTCCGTGGCTAACTTATGAGGGGTGATATTACTTTTATTTGGAGTCTTTCCTAATCGTTTTCGTATTTAAAGGCGTTAATTTTTAGAAACGCCTATTCACCCCCTCTACGTGGCATCCTAGGCCCTTTCACAAGGCTTCCAAGTGAAAACTAGAATCAGTGTCACGTGAGAAACTTCACTCTCCAAGACGTACTGCGACTATGTACGTAATTAATCTACCGCTGCAACTCCGGATGGCAGCGGATCGGGTTCGGGGCGGATATCCGCGTGTTTTGGGTCCGCAGGCTTCGATTTCGGTTCTCGGTTTTCGCTCACGGATTTGCGGATTCGGATATCCGAAATACTGTGGGTTTGGGGCGGATTCTTAAATTCACCCGTGGAGCTCTATCGGGGTCCCGAAACTTTCGGCCCACTAGAAGCCCAACTACCAACCCTAACTATATAAGCCTGAAACTGAAATCCATCAGCCCTCAACCCTCATCCGTCCGCACCCAAGCGCAGTCCTGCACCGCACGGTGCCCGCACGCCCGCACCCACCCGACGCCCCGAGCCCCTGACGGGCGACCTCGCCGACTTCCTCTCTCTCCCTCGTCCCCATGGTGGATCCGACCGCAGACCTCGACGGGGGGCACATGGCGGACTCTACCGGCGGCGAGGAGCTGCAACGGCGGTAGGCGCATGAGTAGGCTCTACTGGCAGCGGTGGACCGACACATGGTGGCTACGGCGGCGGGCGTGCCCTCTCTCCCTACGGCAGCGGCGAATCTGCCCCCTCTCTCCTGGCGATGGCGCGGCAGCGGGCGCTCGACTCGGCGACGGTGGCTCGCCCTCTCTCAGTCTCTCTCTCTCTCTCGGCCGCGGACACGGAGTGCCCCCATCAGCGCTCGGTGGGTTTCGGATTATCCGACGGGTTTCGGGGATCCGTGGGTTTCGGTTTTGGGGATGAATTTTTATCCGAATTAGTGTTCGAGGCGGTTTCGGGTTTTAGGTTCGGGTTTCGGTTTTAGGTGTCCAGACACTCCACCCGATCCAAACCCGCCCCTTTGCCATTCTTAACTGCAACACGTTCTTTATTTTTATTTTTATTTTTAAATTTCCGCAATCCGCTCCAGCTGTCCCGCCTCTTTATTTTCACGTTTTCACCGAGGCGCCCCGGCCAAAACAAATTGGCGAGGTGGCGCGGGTTTCAAAAGAAGCCGAAAACCATCTGTACCCACCGACCAGTAGGCCCTCCGATCCTCCCAATTCATTCCTAGCCAATAGGAGCCCAGCACCACCCATCACGCGGATCGTGACTCCGCCTCCACCTCATCGGCGCCGTCCATTCCCATCCAACGCCACTCCGTCACCGTGCCCATTTCCCGGCTCCGCTCCCCACCTATAAAGATCCGCTCCATCCCAACGCATCACATCACTCCCAAATACCCCAGCAAACCAACTCCTCTCAAAATCCACCGCCGCCTCCGGCTCGCCGTCCTCCGCGCCAAGCACCAAAGCTCCCAATGGCCCGCACGAAGCAGACGGCGCGCAAGTCGACGGGCGGCAAGGCGCCCCGCAAGCAGCTGGCGACCAAGGCGGCGCGCAAGTCGGCGCCGGCCACCGGCGGCGTGAAGAAGCCCCACCGCTTCCGGCCCGGCACCGTCGCGCTCCGGGAGATCCGCAAGTACCAGAAGAGCACGGAGCTGCTCATCCGCAAGCTCCCCTTCCAGCGCCTCGTCCGCGAGATCGCGCAGGACTTCAAGACCGACCTCCGCTTCCAGTCCTCCGCCGTCGCCGCGCTGCAGGAGGCCGCCGAGGCCTACCTCGTGGGGCTCTTCGAGGACACCAACCTCTGCGCCATCCACGCCAAGCGCGTCACCATCATGCCCAAGGACATCCAGCTCGCGCGCCGCATCAGGGGCGAGAGGGCCTGAGTGAGGCGACCTCCTCCTCCCATTGAGGCTGTCGTCGTTGTTGCTTGCTTCGTGCCTGCTAGTAGGATTTGTGCTTGTCTTGGTTTCCTTCTGGTGGCACTGGCATGTTGGTAACATTATGCTTGTTCGTAGTCCTAGAGAGTTCGGTCGCTGGGTAACCTGCTTGTTTATCTTGCACTGATGCTGATGTTATGGCGGTCTGTTATTTATGGAAATGGAATTTGCTATTGAAATCTCTCAATCCCATTAGCTTGTTCGGTTACTCCAATTTTGGGGGATTGAATCTCCTGCAAGTTAATCTTTCAATCCCTTTAGACCCTCTCCAGATTGTTTCGAATGGGGATTAACTGAACATGGCTTTAGTGTGTTCAATCTGGGATTACCTTAGGTGGTGTATTCTTTGGTAGAGTGAGTGGCATTTTACCCTTGTTTAATTTCATGAACCTTGACATTCAGGCAACCATTACCCAGAACAAACCATTATTTCGCACTTCCTGAACACTAGTGGTTTTGAGACATGATTTCTGATTATCTGAATTTGTTCGTTTCATTAGCATGCTCGCTGCATGCAGAGTAGAGGCACTACTCGATGCACATCTGCGCGCTTCATCAGCAAAATTCTTGTAGTGAATATTAAGACTCTAGTTACTAGAGGCACAGCACATCAGCAGTATGTCAACATTTGGCAACTAGTATCAGTTTGGCACACCATTTTACCTGCAGATGGTGAAGGGAAACGTGAAAAAATCAAACAGGGAAACGTCACCTAAGACAGATGGTTGAGCAAATAGTAGATGTCATCCAACAAGGGTGAGGGAAGGCTCTGCAGGTATCTAAAAGCTGGACACACTGCTATTGCTGGAGCCTGCCGCCTTATTCGTTTGGTTTATAAGCTGTATATTTTTAGCCAACGAATAATATTTTTCTTTCATAATAAATCAACCAACAATACTTTCAGTTATGGCTTATCAGCTAAGTGAACATGACAAGATTCCAATTGTCCAATCCAAACTCGAACATAAATACTCCGTAGATCCCAAAACAAAGTCAAAATGGAGGGTCCGATTTTGCAAATCTATGAACACAATAGCCTGTTCGCTTGCTCCTAAACGATCGTAAATTTCCAGCCGAGAATAGTGTTTTTCTCTCACACCAAACCAGCCAGCAGTAAATAATCCACGATACGATACGACCTTCCGAACAGGTTGAATGATGAAAGATATTGAGCAATTTCTCACTGTGCTAAATCTATCAACACAGCGAATAAATGAGGAATCATAATCGTTTTATGTTCCTCAGCCACATAGTGAACATGCATGCCACTGGTCATAGGAATAGCTGCTTGCTGGCACGTTATCAGATCGACAAATGCCTTTGTGCGTTTTTGCCATAGGCAAATTTGGCCGCCAAAAAGCGTTGGCTTCACTGCCTTATCCAGGAACCGAATAATTGCCTCCACTACAGCCTCTAGACCCATCTTGTTGCCCGGTTATTCTGCAGCATTTCAGACTGCATTAAGTTGCACACAGTGGTAGCCCCATCTTGTAATGGCCCGTTCACTTGGAGAAATTTGGAGGGATCTGGATGAATCTAAAGGAATTTGTGAGAGAAAAATACTGTTCCGGATGGAAAAAAAGCGGATTTAAGCCGGGTTTAAGGGCACGCGAATGGGTTGATCCTTGGAATTGAATTCATTCTAATAATTACAATATGTTTGTATATTTATTGTTAAGCATACAATGACATACCTATATATTGCATTTCTACTATACAAAAGTGGGTTGAAGAGTGTGCTATAAGTTGGAGAGTAGAATTATAGTATAGTGATTTATAGAATTCATTTCTATTTTCCACCCTATGAATTTAAGATAGACTTATTTATGAGCTTGGGAATGTTATGAAATGTCAAATTCCAAACCAAATAGCCTAATCTATTAAATAGATTTTAATTCCTCCAAAATAAAGAGATCAAACGACCCCTAAATTCATTTTAGCACGTGAAACAAATGCACGCACTAATTTGTATGGATGTGATTATAACATATGTTATGTTGTATAGTTTTTTCAAGAGTTTGTAGGATCGTACAGACTGAGTTTGTTCTATTCATTCAAAAATAGAAATCCTTTGTGATCATCGAGAAGATAAATCAGACAGTTCACTAAACATAGAGTAGTGGAAGCTGATTTGTTCAACCTCAAGATCCATCTTCCTGTTAATAAAATACTATTATATGCTGTGTAAACTGAAATATAAATAAAGAACCATCTTCATGATTGCACTGAGCAGTTCCCCAACCGCAGTAACAAACAAAAATTGTCAAGGAATAAACGAAAGATTAATGCAGGAGAACGTCTGAAAAGAAAATAAAGGAGAGAGTGTTTATAAGCTTAAAATTTGGAGCCTCTGTTTGATATTTTCTTTCCCTACTTTGTATTCTTTCAAGTCAATTATACTACACCCACAACGTTGGTACAAGTTGATGCTGAAACCCTCTCTTCTTTCAGCACCGGGTAGTACCACTGTGGAAACTATGGTAAGTTAAAAAAAGGTCAACATTGAGTCATCTACTTTCATCGACGCGGAGGAAGTAATTTTTTTTTTCTCAGCCGACGTTGATGCACTCGCGTGCGCAGGAAAGAAATACTACGGTGTTTCTGACATTGGTCCCACAGCCACATACATACCGATGCTCAACATTGTGCTGTTGAGATGTTTTCTCAACCATCGATAAAAGTAGCATTATTCAGCCTCGAGCCCTCGAGCACACTGTGGGTAGTCTTAGGCAAATCTGCATAATGATGTTTGATGCTTAACGCTGTTACAGTGTACTTCGCACAGAGAAAAAATTATTGAAAACAAATCATACAACCACGTTTACTCTATATCGTAGCTATGCTTAAAGTCCAACTAATCCATCAGTTAACTTGTCAAAAAAAAAAAAAAAACTAATCCATCAGTTCCAACTTCCAAGCCACCTGAATCAGCTCCCAGAATTAGAACAAAATATAGAAAAAACACCCTGTACGTCATAGAGTCCAAACCCAGCACACCTCTGCCTCCGTAGTCATGGCCTTTGGCTCTGTTCGCTTCTCTTATAATCCGTATTTTTCAACTTGTTTTTTTAGCCGAAATGTTGTTTTTTTTCTCACAACAAATCAGCCGAAACAGTGTTTTTGCTTGTTTTTTTAGCGAAGCGAACTGGGCCAAACCGGCTCCAACAAGTTGAAATAAACATGCAAACAAAATAAGATAGCAAATGCAGGTAGGGGAACTAGGTCGAATGGAGATGGGAGAAAAGGACGGTCGCGCTTCCGGATAGCAGCGGCGTCAAGGCCACGGGGTTCCCGTGGCGGGGCAAGGCACACAAGGTGATGGATGGAAAAAGTGTCATGTAGCTATACGGCTGTAGCTAGAGCCGCTTTGGGCCAGAATGTTATGTGAGTGGTAGCCCGTAGGAGTATGGTACAAGGCTAATGACCTAAGACCACTAATGATCTGGTCTGTCTAGGTTTGTGTTATGGATTTCTGCTCAGCAGGTTGCAATCGATTTGAGACGTCGTCTCTCCCGGATAGTGAGAAACTTGACTAGCTCCAGCATCGTAGTAAGTGGTTGATCATGCTAAATTGGATATGGTTATTAATGTGATGCTGTTGTCTTAATCAAGTGGTTGCTTTAGGATAGATGCAAACTTAGCTTAAAATAGATCTAATAAACTTACGCTAGCAAATTAAAAATGGTAGGGCTCACTTTAGCAAGCTTTTATACAAAATTGTTGTCAAGCCAAACTCCACCATGAAAAGCCTTGCATTCTCCTTGGTGTCAATTTATTTTTGATTTAAGACGGGTAAGTCTAGCTGAGTACATCCTCGTACTCAGGGTTTATTCCCCCTTGTTGCAGATGGCGTGGTATATTACGGTTACTACAAGAACTGCTTCTCTCTAGCTGTGGACGAGGAGTGAGGCCGCGGGCACGGCCCCTCTATGTTGACTCACCTATGTTGCTTTTGCGGGACTTGATCATGGAACTGGCATGTATTTGAACTAAGTGGTCTATGTGTTTCAGAACTATGTTGCATCCGCTACTGAATTTAAACTCGGGTTGTAATAACTATTATATTTGAACTCCGATGTATGTTGAACTACTTGTGAACATTATGTAACATGTGATGTGTGTGTGCTGAATCATGTATGATCTTGGTTTGTATGCGGCTTAATTCGAGATCCTTCGTGATACTCGACGGACTACCGGGTTTATATATGCTCAAGTGTGAGAGAGCAACTATCTCGACAGTTGCCATTGCACTTGTGCTCTTATAGAGTGGACGGTTCTGTGACACCTAATGGCCTACTTGAGCAAACCCTTAGGACTTCGTAACCAGGCTCTCTCTATTGATGAGGAGTGCCCTGCAATTCTCCTGGGCATTGATAAGTGGAGACCTTATTTACAACATCAGCACTTTGTCATCAGGACTGATCACGGGAGCTTACAACACTTGACTGAGAAACGAGTGTCTTCTAAATTACATGGTTAAACTCATGGATCTTCATACATTATAAGAAAGGGTCTACTAATATAGCTACTGATGCCTTATCATGTTGTGAATGGCATGAGGGTGTTAATGTCATTTCAGAATGTGTTCCAACTTGGATTCAGAAGCTGAAAGAAAGGTTATGATGAAGACTCCTTCACTAAGCAATTGTTAACTGAACACGCAGAATCACTAGAAAATCAGAAAAGGTTATTTGCTACATTATGGTGTTCTTAGGTATAAGGGCCGAGTATGGGTGGGCAATAATACCACTGCCCAAAGAGACATTTTGATAGCTTTGCACAATAGTGGTCTTGGAGGACACTCAAGGATTAGTGCAACATATTCTAGGATTAAACAACTTTTTGTTTGGCCAAATTTGAAACATTCGGTACAACACTTTGTACAACAATGTCAGACATGCCAACTGGTGAAAACATAGTGCATCAAGTCACCAGGATTGTTTGAA